TGTTTAGCCTGGAGAAAAGGAGGCTGAGGGGAGACCTCATTGCTCTCTACAACTACCTGAAAGGAGGTTGTAGCGAGGTGGGTTGTTACTTCTCCCAAGTAACTGGCGATAGGACGAGAGGAAATGGCCTCAAGTTGCGCCAGGGGAGGTTTAGATTGGACGTGAGGAAAAATTTCTTTACTGAAAGAGTGGTTAAACATTGGAACAGGCTGCCCAGGGAAGTGGTGGAGTCACCATCCCTGGAAGTAAATACTTTAAATAAAAGACGTGTAGATGAGGCGCTTAGGAACATGGTTTAGTGGGCATGGTGGTGTTGGGTTGACGGTTGGACTTGATGATCTTAGAGGTCTTTTCCAACCTTAATGATTCTATGATTCTATGATTCTATTCTATGATTGGTGGCAATTGCATGGTTCAGTGGATTTGTTCACTCTACTATATGAACTGGTTTTCTTCTCCAGCTACCATTCTGTGGCCCCAATGTAGTGGACAATTTCTACTGTGATGTCCCTCAAGTCATCAAAGTGGCCTGCACTGACACCCACATGGCTGAACTACAGATGGTGTTTAATAGTGGAGTGATTCTCATTATTCTTTTTGTAAGGGGTCCCATCTTATTTCTTACACTGTCATCTTGCTGAAGATAAGGACATGCATCACAGAAGGGAAGTGGGAAGCCCTGTCTACCTGTGGAACCCAGATAACCATTGTGAGCTTAATATTCATCCCCTGCATCTTCATCTATGCTCAGCCTTTTAAGAAACTCCCTATGGACAAGGTGGCCTTCATTGTTTATACTGTGGTCATTCCAATGCTAAACCAAATGATCTACACACTGAGAAACACTGAGATGCAAAAGGCCATCAGGAGAACACTGCGGAAAAATCTTTCTCTCCCGAGAGAAACAGAAACCAGACCAGCCAGCAGATCCATAGAGATCGGATCTGACGCTTCCATGAGAAAACTGTATTCACCACTGAGATTCCTGCTCCTTCAGCAAGCGAGCAAATTTCTAGATGTGAGATAGGGACAACATTCCCCTCACATCAGCTTAGGAAGGTCAGTCACATGTTTTCTTGTTCTCCATGGAGTGTGCAGTATGGTGTAATTTGTAGGGCCTAATGAGAGTTTTCTGTACTAAATCACCTGCAAAGACAGTACCATGGCACACCCTGGATACTGACCATGCTAGGGGCCCTAACCATGCCCTTGTTCTCTCCTGCGGACATCGGCACACGTCTCACTTCTCTTTGGCAATCTAGTGTAGTTTAATCTCTAGGTTAACACACCTGAAAGCTGGCTTGGTAAACTGGATTGTTATTTCTGCTTGTCGCATAATTACAAAGGATCTTTATAGTAGTGTCAGCTGTAGGTTTAGGGCAATCCCTTTTTGCTCCTTATCCTCACTTCAGGTGGACTGTATAGCTTTTAGGATCCCTCCTGGAGTGGAGCATCCTGGTCACACATTAGACAACATGGTGGTGGTTGAGGGATAAGATTGTCCCAGGGATCACTCAAGGGTGCTCCAGGATGGAGGTTCCGTCCCCTCACCATTCCTCTCTTCTTTGCTCTGTCCCATCCTCCAGTTTCATTCCAGCAGTCCTTATATGATCATGGTCTCCTACAAATCTACAGAGCCTTCTACACAGAACAGGCAAGCTGAACACGATGCTATAGAAGGACAAATGTGGCAAGTGGGGAGGCAGACCTCCCATACTGTTTCCTGCATTAGAAAGACATTCAAATTTCTTTGTAGATCCTTGTAGAGGATCTTAAAAGTTTTTTAAGAAATGTCAGGCCCAAAACTGGGCCACCTGGAACCAAGCAGAGACCTGGGAGAGCAGGATGGATGCAGAGAAGAGGAGATTCTGTCTGCAGGAATATCTGACATCACCTCAAGGAGGATGTTGGGTGAAGGAGAAACCTTAGAAGTTTCTAGCACTGCCCCAGAAAGTGCTCCTGAACATCAAGCCACCTAACCTACAAATGACCTATTCTGAGGCTCACACTCAGAATTACCATAGTCATTTGGATCTCAAATGCAGAGAAGTGTCCTGTGTGCCCCACATGGTAGGCTAACAAGGTGCTCCAAAGGGCCCATGGGGTAGGTACTGTGCCAGACATGATGAAAGTTCTGTGCACTGTGGGTGCAGCCAGACTCTCCGCAAAGGGGCTAGGTGTGGGCAGTATGGATGTGAACGCATCTAGTCCATTGGCTGAGGTAAATCACTTAGACAACATAGACAAAGACTAGTTGTCTTTCATGGCTGAAGGAGTGCTAAAGGACTGGTTTCAGGGCCAATTACATAACAGGAGTGCAAAGGGACAGAAACTCTCTCTTGGGGGGACTGCTCAGAATGGTGGTAACCACGCTCCTCAAGGATCATGCAGCCAGCCCTAGCTGAAGAAAGTTCCCCAGTACATCAAAGACCTGATCATGGACACCATTCCAGAGTGGGGATGCTGCTGTCCAGGTGCAGGTGCCCCTTGCTGGGTTTAGAGGGATGGTGGTTTCATGTGTGGGAAACAAGTCATGGTCAGGGTACTGAGTTGCCAGGTGAAGGAGTCATGGGATGAGGTGAGCGGACTATGCACCAGAGAACCAGAACAGGATTGCAAGAAGAGACAGAGCAGAGGCGATAGCCAAAGTCCCTTGTGGCAATGAAGGATGTACAACTGGAGAGCACACTTTATTGAGTGGTGAGGAAGACACCCAGGATGGGGGAGGCTGGCTGCTTGTGGCCTTTGACAGAAGGAGAAAGGCAGTCTTTGTGAGGCACGCATTTTCTTTTGTGAGAGGGTAGGTAGGACAGTTAAGGAAGGGGATAAATAACAAAAAAACTCTACTTCATGTGCAACTATATTTGGATTCTTATAGCATGCAACAGAAAGGGTTTCACGAGGACTGAGAACACTGATTTGTGAGGGTGCAATGCCTTCTGGGTTATTATTGGAAGCCAGAATTAGTCCACTCTGCACCTATGCTGTGTATAGAATATGCACTACAGTAAGAAAACCATTCTCTCTGAAATCCTGACTTCCCCTCAAAAGGAATTATTTGGCTGATTCAAGCCCATAATACAATGGGTGAGCAATTGACTGATGGGTCAAAGAGTTATAGTAAATGGGGTTACATCAGGCTGGTGGCCAATCACCAGTGGGGTTCCCCAGGGCTCGATTTTAGGGCCAGTGCTCTTTACTGTTTTTATAAATGATCTGGACACAGGAGTCGAATGTACTTTAAGTAACTTTGCCAATGATACTAAACTAGGAGGAGCTGTAGGTTAGAAAGGCTTCCTTTGAGGCTAGAAAGGCCTTACAGAGAGATCCGGGTAGACTAGAGAGCTGAGCAATCACCAACCATATGAAATTTAACAAGAGCAAGTGCAGGATTCTGCACCTGGGATGGGGTAATCCTGCTTATACAAAAAATTGGGGAACAAGAGGCTGGAGAACAGCCCCGCAGAAAGAGATCTGGGGGTTTGGGTTGATGGCAAGTTGAGTATGAGTCAACAGTGTGCCCTGGCAGCCAAAAGGGCCAGCTGTGACCTGGGGTACATCAAGCACAGCATACCTAGATGGTCAAGGGAGGTGATTGTCCCACTCCACACTGCACTGGTGTGGCCCCACCTCGAGTACTGTGTGCAGTTTTGGGTGCCTCAATATAAGAAAGACATCAAACTATTAGAGTGTGTCCAGAGGAGGGCAACCAAGATGGCGAAAGGCCTCGAGGGCAAGACTTACTTGGTTTGTTCAGATTGGAGAAGAGAAGGCTGAGGGGTGACCTCATCGCAGTCCACAACTTCCTCAAAGGGGGCAGCGGAGAGAAGGTGCTGATCTCTCTCTGGTGACCAGTGATAGGAAACAAGGAAATGGAATGAAGCTGCGTCAGTGGAAGTTCAGATTGGACATTAGCAAAAGGTTCTTCACTGAGAGGGTGGTCAGTCACTGGAACAGGCTCCCCAGGGAAGTTGCATGGCACCAAGCCTGACAGAGTTGAAGGAGTCTGTGGACAATGCTCTTAGTCATATGATTTAGTTTTAGGTAGTCCTGCAAGGAGCATGGAAGTTGGACTCAATGATCCTTTTGGGTCCCTTCCAACTTGAGATATTCTATGATTCTACCTTGGAATCAAACTGAAAAGTAGTGAGTACTAAGGGCAAGATAAAAATGCCTAAGGCATGGTTTATTTGTTCCCAAAGTAGACAATAAAAATGGGTTAGCTGAATTGCTTGCTAGAAACACCCATCGATTATGCAGGAATCCTTAGGTGACTAATTCTGATGCTGTAGATGTCTATACCTGGATAGACAAATCCTGTCACTAGTGCCTACCATAAGGCTATGTCCCCATTGCCTTTGATTTTTACTTGATAGTTGACTTCTGATTTCAGATTTCAGTGGCCTACCTATGCTGTATGAAAAGGCAAAGCTTGACTACAAGCTAGATCATCCAGTGACTTGCACATTCTCCCTTTGTGGAGAAACAATGGACTCATTCAGGAGCAGAGTTGTATGAGTGTCAAACAGCAGGCAGTGTCAACAGTCAGAGATTCAAGTATAAGCTGAAATCTTGAACTAACATGCTTGCTACCTGATCTTATCTGTCTGCATCTGGACCAGAAGTTCAGTAATGATCCTATAAATGTTTCACACCTGCCAGTTAATTTCTGTAGAGATACAGAATTTTAACTGTAGTACTTCATAGCACAACTGTGTTAATTCCTTTACACAGTATAGTTCTCCTCTAAATTATTCCATACAGGTTTTAGTGTCACCCTAAGGCTTTTTGATAATTTGAAGAAAGTTATTTGAAGCTTGCTTAATATATATTATGTTGCTACATAATGTAGACTATGGAGTTGTTCCTAAGAAAATTGTATTAACAAACAAAACAAAAACGAAAAAAGCTTTAACTTATTTACTTCAATTTTTTTTTTTTTTTTTTTTAATTTTCCACACCAACATATGTATTTGCTGACCAGCTTCCACATTGAGCCTTTGATCTCCTTGTTACGCAGGATATAGATCATGGGATTAGTCAAGGGGAAGATGACCATATGGAAAACAGCAACAACTTTTTCCATTGGGACAGCTTGGAAGGGTAAGTCATAGGTATACATAGCTGGGCCACGCATAACAAAAACAACAATGATGTGGGAAACACAGGTGGAGGCTACTTTGTTCTTTGCCTTGAAGGACTGTGTCTGGAGCTTCAGCAATAGGACAGTGTAGGAGATTAGGGGAAGTGTAAAGCACATAACAATAACAACTCTGTTGTTGGGGAACATCAAAAGCTCCACTATGTAAGTGTTGGCACAGGCCAACTTGGTCAGCTGATGGACATCACAGAAGTTGTCCAGGATGTTGGGACCACATAAGGGAGGTGGATGCTGAGAGGAAATAAAATGATGCCATGGATGAAGCCCACACCCCATGTAGCTCCAACCAGGACACAGCATACCCCCCTGTTCACAAGCCTGGTGTAGTGAAGAGGTTTGCAAATGGCTACATAATGGTCATAGGCCATGACCATGAGCAGGAAAGCTTCAGGTGCTCCCAGGAAGTGGAGGAAGAAAAGCTAGGCCATGCAGGCACTGTAGGAGATGGTCTTATGGTATGAGAAAAAGTCAGCCAACATTTTGGGTGTGGTCACAGATGTAGCAGATGTCCAAGAATGCCAAACTGGGCAGGAAAAAATACATGGGTGATCCCAGTTGCAAAACCCCTCAAATTGTGACAGTGATAAGGATGTTGCCTGGCAGAATGATCATGTAGAAAAGCAGGAAGAAGAAGAAGAGAATCACCTGGACTTCATGGTTTTGGGACAATCCCAACAGAACAAACTCTGTAACTACTGTATAGTTCTCATGCTCCATTTCTGCTCTGCAGAACCCTGAAAAACACAATAATCATCGAAAAAAACAAACACCAGTGCAAATCTACAGAAATGTTTGAACAACCTGGGGCATATTTAGATTGCCTAAAATGCATGCCCTTTTCCCATTTCCTAGTTTTAGGGAACTCGTAATGCTGAAATACTTGAAAGCCAATAATTTAGATTCTCACTAACTTGGGCATTTTACTGGAAATGTATAGTGGAAATGTCCATATTTTATCATATGTTCTTTTGTTTTCTCTGCACCCTGGGAACTGGCACTTGGATGGAATATAGGTCATAAAGTATCAGTCCATTTTTCCATGGGTAGGCTAATTTTTGTGGTTTACAGTGTAGATGGCTTTATCTGAGCTAGTCGTGTCTACTCCCTCTCCAGCTGACAAAAGCAGGTCCTTCCAGGGTAGACAGATTTAATTCTAGGGTAGACAGCTAAACAAAGCTAGACAAAATGCACTCTAAAATTACACAATTAATCTAAATCACATCCACTGATTATAAAAGGAAACTAAGTATAGATCACTCACATCTGAAGGAAGGTTTATGAATCCCTTGGGTGAATTCATCTGACAGCTGCAAAGTTGTTTGCAATTAAACAATCTAAAATGCCTTTATCCTTAATTATGTCAGTATAGCCGGCCCAGGGAATGGCTAATTTAATCCTAAATTTTCTCCAGCATATATCAGTTCAAGTATTTTCCAAAATATTTCATTTTTCCCAATTGTCTTTCAAGGGAGCTGAGGATGTCTGGATCACATTCAGACTTCCACCTTTCTCCAGAGAAATCCCACAGTGGTGTCTAATTTTCCAATGAAGTCAACAGAATACTGGAAACATAAAGAAAAATCAATTATCTAAATATCTCTATGAAATTAATCTACCATGAATCAGCGTAATGGCAGTCTGAAAAACAAACTGACTTTTTTTCATAGAATGTATCAAATAATTTCATTTACATATATTTTGAATGGAACTGTGGATTTTGACATTTCCCTCATAAAGCAAATCATAAAAATTGGTCAGATTTCTTTTAAAAGTCATTCCATTTATCTAAGTTCTTTCATTCCTCCCACTTCTTTTTCTTCTTTTGAGTCGGGAGAAAGTTATATGAGTTTTTGCCTCCAGGTTTTTTAACACTTTTCTTCCATTTTGCTACAGAGATGGTATGTCTGTCTGCATGACGGTGTCTGCACATTACTGCATTAGTAACTTCACCAGCAATGTTGAGGTAGAAAATAAAACATACTGAAAATGCTTTAGTGGGAGAAAATGCTCAGACCTGTACAGATTATTTAGTTTTAGAACGGGTTTAGTTTAGTTCTCTTATTGAGACCAGTGAGAAATTAAATCAGTCTTGACAGTGGAAAAATGTGTTTGAAAAATAAAAACAACTGAGAGGAGGAGAAAGTGGCAAAAAGTAGTGAAATTCAGAATAAAGGAGAAAAAAAAAAGGAAAGGAAAGGAAAGTAAGAAAGGAATAAAAACAAGAGAAGAAAAATACTCCTTACATCACTTTTTGATGTTTTTTCAAAAGTCAAAATTTTATGTCATGCCTTGAAATTGAAAAATTTCTTGTCATTCTTTGTCTTCTCCATCTCTTCCTTTCTTTCATGGACAGCTGAAGGGCTCATTGTGCTGGATGTGTGTATAAATTGACCAGTATTTAATTTCTCAGCTGATTGCAAACCCTTATCCATCTGGATCTGAGTTTCTATTTGCCTCACTTTAAATTCCCTCTAAGTGGTTTGGTCAGCTCCAGTCCCTTCCCATCTCATCACATGACAGAAAGATTCCTGCAGGAACCTACCACTCCACTCTGCTGTCCTGTATTGTATCAGATCCTACACATCCAGCTAATGCAGAAACAACACTCTCCCCTCACCTCTACTTGGTTATAGAGACTTCTGTGGATGCACTTGACTTCCATGGTGTTGTGGATGGACTCCACTCATAAGAGAGAAGCAACAATACACTTTATTGATAGAAAACAGTGAGTTAAAGTGTGAGTTAACAAAGTTCAATGGTAAATGCGACAGTAATTTAACAAGATTCAATGGCAAGGTACACTTGATTACCTACTGCATAGAGGACAGCGTCAGACAAAACTGTCAGGGAGACCCTCCCGTTGAGTCATGAGGTTCAGAAAGGACCCCTTTTCTTTCTAAACTCCTTCTCAGAGAGGAGTCTAGGTGCGGCTGGATCCAGTCCTAGTCCCAGACTTGGTTGATGGTTTATGTCTAAAGAATTATATATGCGCAAATAATCCTTTATATGACTTAGCTAAGATTTCAAAGTTTAACATGCTATTAGTCACTTACTGAGGATCTGTTGTGGCAAGGAATCTCTCAACCTCAAGGAGTAACCTTGAGAGGTGTCCCTACTCAAGGGGAGATCCCGCCGTGCAGCCCACTGCCGTGCAGGAGAGCTCAAAGGGCTCTTGGGCTGTCCACTATTTATAGAGTAAGATGATTGACTTATAGTCATATTTGCATATCAGCAAGTCATTTGACTCACTGCTCCAGGCAGCCCTTGGCTACTGTGTTGCCATCCATTCCCAAAGTCCAGCATAACCTGGATGCAGCCACAACGACCCCCACCGGTGCTTGTTGCTTACGCAACGTGGGGGGAGCACACCGCCACACATGGCTTTGCATCTACGACTTTTCCACACAGCTCAATATCTACTACTCTCTGGGATATTCAGCGCTAATCAGCAAGGAACTGATTGAGGTTACTCCCTCTTTGCTGTTTCCTGCCACATCACTTTAGATAGATGGTAAATATTTCCCAGTTTTTCACCCTACTTCCCTGGTGTTATCAGTCTGCCTATAGAAACATAGAATCATAGAATAGTTTAGGTTGGAAAAGACCTTTAAGATCATCAAGTCCAACCGTTAACCTAGCACTGCCAAGTCCACCACTACACCATGTCCCTAAGCACCACGTCTACACGTCTTTTAAATACCTCCAGGGATGGTGATTCCATTGCTTCCCTGGGCAGCTTGTTCCAGTGCTTGACAACCCTTTCGGTAAAGAAATTTTTCCTAATATCCAATCGAAACCTCCCCTGGTGTAACTTGAGGACATGCACATACATACACATTTACATCTGTGTTCAAATATGTTTACACATGTATATTTAAAATAGAAAATATATATCCATAAAAGAGTATGAATAATGTAATTGTTTAGAAAAGATAAGGAATTAAAGTTTAAATGTGAATAATAAGAAAACACATGTACAGGGCTTTCAGGACACTGCATTCCCCTACTGAGCAAGAGACTGTGCCCCCAGAAGATCACAACATGGATCTTTCCAAGGAAGGGCCACTTCTGGCACTCCATAGCCCTGATGGGGATTTTGAAATTCTAGTTTTACCCCTTCCTTCACATGCAGCAGGGAAGATAGAGGAGAAGGAGCACAGCCTGTGGCTTCAATGGAAATGTGTAGCAGATGAAGTGGCAGATCCAGAGGTCTGGGGTTAGGAGATACGTAGAAGAGTATAGATTTGTTAATTTAGACCAGGTACTACTACATAAATCTTTGTTTGGGGTGTAGATGGATTTTTTTTACCATATACACCAGCTGTTTGGACATAGTGATTGTTCTTAGATTATTCTTGAAGCTGTCAGCATGCACAACTCCTTATATTGTCCCACTGTTAATGTAAGCAATATGAATATAGGGAAAACTTTTAGAATGGGCCACTTATCCCCTAAAAAATAATTCATCTGTGTTCTGACCAGACTTTCCTCCTGGCTGACATTATTGCAATAATGGCAAAGGCTATGATTTCATAGCTTCCGAATGAAAGAATGGACAAGCTATTAATCACCCAAGGTGGAAAGTGCATATTACAAGTTCTCAGTCTGAATATATGTTTCATAGAAATTAAGCAGGTTTCCCCAAGCACTGGGATTTGTGGGTTGCAAACATTATTTCTTCCTTTTTTTTTCAACACCGCTGAAAATCAAAATTATGTAGAACCTTATACAAAACCAGAATATTACATGGTGAATGGCATGGTCCTTGAGGATAAAATTTTGCTATGACATGCAGTCGATTAGGAGAAGATTTTTGTCTTTTATTATTGCCAAAATTTTGAGGGAGCCTTGCATATCATACAGGAGGAGCAGGGAGTTAGACTCGACAATCCTTATGGGTCCTTTCCAACTTGAGATATTCTATGATTCTATGATTCTATGAATGAGATTATGGTGATGACTTGTCTCGCATTATATGAGAAACAGGGTGATGAAAATGTGAAAGCGTGTAACTTAGATCCTTTTCAGCATAGTGTGCTAACCTCTACTTGCATGGCCACACAGCAGTTGGTGTTTCTTAAATGTAACACTATAGCACAACTTCCCCCAAATCATCATCACTAGAGGAAAAAGACATCTTTGACATCCTTTTCTCAGTGGATTACATACAGAGCTGAAAAGGAAAATATTCAACTCCTTTATGAGTTATAAAACAGTGACTATCAAATGGGCAAATGCTACCATAAAAAAAAGAAGAAAGAATCTTCTGACTGGGTGTTCTGGTTTCGGCAGGGATAGAGTTAATTTCCTTCCTAGTAGCTGGTACAGTGCTGTGTTTCGGATTTAGGATGAGAACAATGTTGATAACACACTGATGTTTTAGTTGTTGCTAAGCAGTGCTTACACTAGTCAAGGACTTTTCAGCTTCCCATGCTCTACCGACTGAGAAGGCTGGAGGTGCACCAGAAGCTGGGAGGGGGCACAGCCAGGACAGCTGACCCAGACTGGTCAAAAGGACATTCCATACCATGTGACGTCATGCTCAGTACATAAACTGGGGAAAGCTGGCCGGGGGGGCCGCTGCTCAGGGACTGGCTGGGCATCGGTCAGCAGGTGGTGAGCAATTGCATTGTGCATCACTTGTTTTGTATATTATTATTATTATTATTATTATTATTA